CCGTAGTGCAGCAATCATGGCAGAGCATACCACCTGAAATATGCCACAGTCTCGTAGATTCTTTGAAGAAGCGATGAAGTGCAGTTATCAAAAATCATGATCATGCTACCAAGTACTAAGATCTCCTATGGACAAAACTGGCAAAAATCTTTCAGTACTTTTTTTGATTTTTAGTACTTTACTACTATTTTACTGCTCCCAACAAGTTTCATACATAAACACACACTTTGTAAATAAACATATCTTGTACATATTCAAATCTAAATACTTTTAGTRATAAACATAGCCAGGAAAATATGATCCACTTTTGCATTTCAATGGATGTTAAAATTATTTGGCATTTTACATAACTCACAGATATGTAAAGCTCTAACACCCACTACTATTTCACTGCTYGCAGCTGTACATACGCGCGTGTATAACCATTTAAAASTGATGTAGTCAAATAGCCTGCAAGCGTATTTACCTTACCATGAAAGTGCGTGTGTGTATGTGGTTTGGCAGTGCACTTGTGGCGCAACTTTTCGGCGATTTAGTGCATCACTGGCTGACTGCTCTTACCTGTCGGCGCTGACGTTGAAAGCAATTCAAGAATTTCTTTTCCCATTTMCTCTCGTCTTCGCTTTGGTATTCAWACTACGGCATTTCAGCCTGACTATAATTTATTTTCATTTTCATTTTCGTCTGCATTTTAATAATTCTGCTGTGAAGGGTTTCTTTTCTTTCCGGTTATTAAGTAATTTCATATTTTCAACTGATGCCGCCTAATTTATTGTGCGAAACTTTTCTTTGAACTTAAATATTCCCCAGTCGGCAGCTCAAGCGCCTTCAATCCAGCCTTCTGTATCCAGCATACATTTATATATGTACACATCATTAAACCAGAAAGAAAGCGGGCGAGCGCTTTTCGCAACGACTCCTTCTGCTGTCTGAGTCCCTTCGCCTTAAGTTTGACTTTCGCCGACTTGCTTCTTTCTTTCGTTCTTAATTTGCGCAAATCCTTTGGCGCCCGAGATGACCGCAGCCGTTGTTGCTGTTGCGATTCAATTTGTGTTTGTTGCTTTTCAAACTCCGACATAAGAAAGCTGTTGTCTTTGGGCCGGCGCGCAGCCGCACCAGTGTTGCTTACGGACTCAGCGCCTCGCTTCATGTTGCGGATCAACATTTAGCTTTTTCGCTAACCATTTAGAAGTGAGATTTACGGTTTTTTTTTTTTTGTGCTCAAAGTGCCTCTGTGTTGCTGGCTGTGTRTTTGCGTGTGGGTATTTATTCGCAATTTTCCATAACCGAAATTTTTTGCTTTTTCCTTTTACCTTTTGCTCATTTAAATAACTAATTATTATTTAACTAGCTGAGAAATTGAAACTTCATCTTCACGTTTTGACTCTTTTGCCTTCTCTTTTGCACCTCTTTGCAGGTTTGGCGGCATCCTTGGCGTCGYTCGTACCATAAACGCAGGAAGGCTCAGTGGGAGACAGATTCCAATTACTGCTCCATTGTAAGTAAAAGAGACTTTYTAAAGCGCCTTGTAAAGAATCATTTGGTAATTATTTTTAAATTTTAAGTATTTGCAAGAAAGGCACCCAAACGGGCTAAAAACTTAAAATCGACGTAATTACAAGTTTTCGCCAAAGGACTATTGGCCGTTAAATTGAAATTAAAATATAAAAAAATGTAAAATTAAATTGATGTTTGTGCCACAGTTTTCTACCGAAAATGYTTGTGAGACTTTGWCTTTCGTTTTTGCTTTCTTTRTTTCTTGCATACATCTTCGACGAACTATTCATGAAGAGCTGCGGTGCAAGCTCAAAGAACTTATTTACAAGCATTAAAAATTGTCCTTTGCACATCTTCCCTTTTATATAGCATAGTAACGATATATTTTAAATAATGGTTGGTACTTATGTTCTTAACGGTTCATTGAAATTAAAGTAATGAATGACTAAAGCACTTAAAATGTCAAAATTATATAAATTTTATCAGATTTTTTTATTTTGATATTAAATTTAAGTGTTATAACAATTAATTATCCCGAAGGTTCGCGAGATACCACCATATGATGAAGGCCGACGCTTACTGGATCTAATGGATATGGCTATATTTGACTTCCTAACCGGAAATATGGACAGACATCATTATGAAACCTTTAAGTGAGTACCAAAAGAAAGATATAATAACTCTCAGAAGCCCTATGGAAATACATATATATTAATAGCATGTTTTTATCATTTAAATTTTGTAATTATATCTGGGTTGAGCTAAAGATCAAAAGTTAAACTAGAATTTTTCTAAGAAATGGGAGACTTACTTTTTAAAACCTTCAATGTATTTGTGGCATGAAGGAGAATTTCAGACACTTTCTTCTCTGTCTCTTATACACATCTAGATGTGTATAAGAGACAGCTCTTGAACTAGTGCAATCAGTTGTCTGCAACGAAACTGTTTGACATCGAAATTCCGGCACGCTAGCATTCTACAGAATGTCGCCATGTCAAATCTGAACCGATTCGAATATTTCCGTCCTTTCTCCTCGCTCATTGTAATAAGCTTATGATTGCAAAAAATCGGAATAATCTGAAGTGTTTGAGAAATTTTAGATATAAAAGTTAAATGGGTTTCACGGCTTCTAAACGTTTTCTTCTTACTGCCTTATTTAATTCTAAAGGGTGATCGTTTTCAAGGATTCTTTCTTGTTTAAAGAAAAGCCCCAGAAACTTCAAATTTAATGGGGAATGGATATTATGATTCGAAAGAAAACATGAAGAGTATCTCTTTCCAATGTTGCTCARATGATCCCTCCGTTGAGTCGTATTTTCGATGACTCATTCCAACATCGAGGCGGGATTTTTCGCATTCGACTTCAGACTTTGCATATCCCCACAGGAAGAAGTCTAACGGTGTGATATCAAATGATCTTGGTGGCCAATCGACCGGCCCAAAACGTCAAATTATCTACTCACTAAAGTGTGTGTCTAGTTGAAACCAAATTTTGCCGAAATCACAAGCTTCAATTTCACGCATCAAATAGTCGATTATCATGCCGCAATCACCGGCATCATTTTTAAGGAAATATGGACCGATGATTCCACCGRCACACAAACAAAACCAAACGTTTTTCTAAATAAAATAGCTCTTGAATCTYTTCASATTACTCTTCATCCGAAATGCGGCAATTATGTTTGTTTACACACCCATTGAGCCTAAAATGGGCCTCATCGCTGAAGAAAATTTCGGTGGTCGGATCTTCATGKAACTTTTCAAGAGTTTATAGAACGAAGATATGTCGTTTTGGAAAGYYGAGCGGCTTCAGTTCTTGCRCAAGCAGTATTTTGTAAGGGTTAATTTAATTCCTGACATAAAATGTGTGTGTGTGTATTGTATGGGTTAATTTAATTCCTGACATAAAATGTGCCCAGTCGTTCCATACGTCAGTCCGAGTTCCTGCGAACGGCTCCAAATCAACGCTCAACGGTCTTTGTGTACACTYTCAGCTCTGACTGCTACATTTTTTTCACTGCCTGGCGGATGTGTTCCAATAGGTTCAATATTTTTCAATGATGATTTCAGGGTCTCAAGGTTGATGATGGTGTTGGGAATAGTACGCTCAGTAGGCCGATTATATTGAGTCTAAACTAAAACGATTTGTATACGTCGTTCAGGCGTAAGTCTTTCTATGATGAAATAGCAAGCAATACTGAACAAAAATAACAAGACAGCTTCACACAACTCACACGCGATCTTTCAAACAAGAATTTATTTAAAAAAAAAAATAGCTCTACTTCATCGCCACTACATAAAATATTTTAAAATAATCAGGATAARTTTATTCAAAATTAGTGAATATACATAAGTAATTAAAAAAAAWGGAATTTAAGCTGAAGCTAAAATGTTAGAACTGGAATGAAGCCAATTTGAGAAATGTAGTTTTGGAAAAAAGGCCCTATTTATTTTGATCTTATTGAGGCGATTGAAGCTATATAAATATTTGGATTTTGCAATCAAAATAGTAATACTGAATAAAAGCCATTTTGAGTGTCCAGAAATTTAATATCGATATGTTTCAAACTCATTTTTCAATGTTTGTGTCACGGAAGAGTTTGGCTTGTGRTTTCGAAAATATTAATGGATAGTGAGTTTAACCCCAGAATACCATACATAGAAGACAGTAGTTAAGTTTATTTAAACTTTGACTGCACACTGTTCATTTAAGCATTGCTGCCTTTTCTTTTCGCGTAATAATTTCTTTCTGACACTTTCTAACACATGAGTGACACTTGGACTAATAAAATTTACAATTTATATTTTTTCTCCACCGTTTGCGCGGTTAATTTTAAGAGCCCTGTAGGAAATTGAATTTTACCAAAGTGTGATATAATTAATTCGTGAAAGAGTGGTAGTAGCCTAAAGCTTGTTTCTAACAGTAATGGGAAGTGATTTTTCAAATTGTGATATAGAGTGTGTCACATGACCAATCTTATATCATCTACCAAATTTATGTTATTTTAGAAAGAAAATTAAGGGATTTACAATTTTATCTTTGTATCTTTAGTAGATTCTCCGTTTCGTACTTTGGCCTTCTTGCTCAGGCTGCAATTATACGCAGACTTTCTGCGAGTGCACACAGTTCAKCTATTTCGATATTCGCTTTGTTGCACCAGCTCCTTAATGCCTAACCGCGAGCGCTGCAATATTTGCGGTTGGTTCAATGCTGTTACTCAGATGTCACAATAATTTTAATTAACTTTTAATGAGCTGCGCAGCTCGCCCACAACTTGCCCGCTTCGCTTTGCCACAGCTTACTTGCCACTCAGCGCACAAATTGAAACGAAAGGATAGTTTTCGCGCTACTTTTTTGCAAATATTCACCAAACACTTGTGTGTGTGGCAGTAAGCGAGTGGTGGTAAGTTTATTTGTACATTTCTTGGCAAGAAGCTGTTGGAAAGTGTCGTTACTTTTCATTGTGCTGCGGTCTACGTCCGCTCCACGTCACCGCAACTGCTCCGCACCAGTGCGGGTCGTCTTTTCGCCGTTCAATTAAATTTGTTAAAAATCGGATTTTCTGATTTTTCTTTTCGACAATTTGACGCATTCTAATTGCAATTTASTGAGCAGCTGAGTTCCCGAATTTGTGACGTGATCTTTTATGGGTTTTTATTCATGCAAATAACTGTTGTTGCTTCTAAGTTTCAGTAAGCTGACTCTCGCACGCATTCGACTTTCTCGGTGTGTGTGTGCGAGAGTTGCAAACTTTTCGAATAGTTTTAGTTACAGTAAATAAATGTTTGTGGCTGCTTAAGAGCGCAAATTTACGAGCCCGATAAGCCAAGTTGTGCCCAACAATGCTGCGCAGCTGCAATCTGCCACTTTGTTCAACTAATTCCTTGACAGGCATATAAGATTTGGATAGCGAAAGTGCTGCCAGAGTTAGGAAATGTTGCCAAAGAAATTCGTGATAATAAAAGAAATAAATGAAAGTCGAAAACTTGTCAGAAAGTTATTTGAAATTTCACAGAAAATACATTTTTAATTATGCCACGCATTTAAGTGTTGTAATTCAATTAGCGTAGCATTGACAGCGACGCCCCAACACTCGTTGGATTGTTCGCACTCACAGCYACAAAATTGTGGTTATCAGGCAGCAACAAAAGTGTTCAGGCTCATGTTAATGGCTCTCGTTGCTTATTGAACTCCAATATGCACCGTTCATAGCTCATATTGAAGCTGCCACAACTCGCTTCGCATTAATATGCGCATAAATGAACTCGATGCCCTTGTTGTTGTTGTTGATGGATGTGCTTATATATCATAAGTTCTATGTTTCATACGATTGGATTACTGCCACTTAAAGGGCTCGTAGCATACTCCGCCTGAGTTGTTTGAGCTGAAATACCAAAATACCAAAATGCACTTTGCGCATTATGAATGCAAACAAATTCCGAAGACTGCTAGTGCCAGCCACATAATTTATCAGAGACTACAATTTCAATGAAATATTGGAAAATCGCCTCAATAAAAATATAATTTCCAATATATTGCATTGATATGGTGTTGCCTTATAGTCGGTGAATTGCTCGGAGGTAAGATTTTCATGAAATCTGCGAATTTTACCATCTGATTACTTTTGACCGAAGTAATCCATTAAAAGTACGCGCATAAGCCGAATCGATATAAAATATTTCGTGGATTGGTATAACATTTGCGAGATCATGTAAAGTTGGATATCCGTATGCCAATTAGTGTGTGTTTGGCAGCAAAACTTCATCGGGTGGTGGCCGCAAACAAGGTGCGCGTTAATGTAGCTGAGGTCCACTTGGTTACTGGTCTCAAAACGTAGGTTTATAAAATCGAAAGTGTACAGACATCTAGCGGATATTGCTCAAATATAAGCGGTTACCGAAATAACAACGTCAAGTCGTTCCGAGGCATCTAAGTGAAGACCCAATTGGGTTGACCTGCTTTTACTGAACCAGGGACCTACTTCGAAGGCGATGATAAAGATTTGTATTAAAATACGTAAAAATGTAGGTTTTTCTAAATCCGTTCCCAAATTTGAAAARCCACTTAAAGGGCTTGATAAAAATGAAGTTCGCTACGACTTTTGGTTTCCAAACAAGGTCAGTACCATATAGACCAGAGTAGATAATTTTGAAAAATTTAAGTAAAAAAAATATTGTAAGATGAAACCAATAGGAAACGAAAGACAAAATAACAAACTTTACATGAAAAATAACTCACAGGCTATCTGAGATAGGGCAAAGGAAGGTCGGGTGGTTGTTTAAATTAAAAAGTTTAAAACAAGTTTTCTAGATTTCTAGCAAAACTAAGAGAGCTACGCAAAAAATTTTATTTGTATGTAAAGAAAGGATCTATAGCTTTTGTATATTAACTTTTTTCACATAACTTAAAATTTCATATAAAACGTTCAAGGAGACAAGTTTTTTTGCCTTTTTTTTTTTTATTGTGTACAAACATGTTTTCTGTCTCGATATTTGATATAAACTTACCTTGTTGAGGGGTGACATGGGTTTCCTCGGTTAAAAACTGCCTTTTTTCAAAAAAATTTTTTTTTTCATATAAAAATTAAATGTTTTATTAGAATTCTTTATTGTTACTAACATGCAACATTAACAAAGAAATTCGGAAATTTTTGGAAAAAAATATTTTTAATTCAGCTATTGCGATGCCATCTCCGTTGACCCCTCGGAAAACAAATGTGCCCGCGTTGCCAAGACAACTCCTAACACGTTTATCTGAAGCAAGAATACGTGTTTTAATTAAACATTTAACTTAAAACTTGGACGCAGCAAAAAAATCTGAAAATATAATTTTTGACTAACATTTGTACAAAAAAATGAAAATTTCAGTGAAAATTTTACGACATTTAAATTTTTCCTAATAGTTGTAATCGAAAAAAATTCTTCGTTCGAATCTTTAAGAAATGTATCTCAAGAACTTTCGTAAAATTTCATGAAGATTAAGTAGTTATCGAGAAATCCTGCCAACCGACTTCAAAAACAAAGTTTAAAATTTAAAAAAATTTAGCAAAATATTCGAGAGATGTTGCAGAATTTAATAAGACAATACAAAATAGATTTTTAAAAACCCGTAAACCCATGTAACATCCTAAATCCAACCAAACCATCTTCTTTTTGTAATAATTATAAGTGGAGCATAAGTATTAACGGAACGGAAAGAAAATCAGATCAATTGGGGTCATTAAAGGCAATCTAGCATAGTGGACATTTGGGCTCTGAAATATAATATTCAGTTATTAAAATTATGGCTCCCAGGAACAGTCTGCTAGTTACCGCAGCTGATAAGATTGCACGAGCGCATAAGCAGCTGTCGAAAATTAGTCGCAATTACAGCAATGCAGGCACAATACAATTACTAAATCAGTAATGGTTTGGAAAGCATTTGCATTACTTGCAGCGACGCATGTAAAAATTATGCATAATCCACCGCTCCAACACAGCAGCGCAGCAATATACTTAGGCATGAATATGCATTGAGCGGGTTGAGCGGCCATTGAAACTCCCATATGCAGATTGCTGCGGTAATGAAGCGTGCAGCAGATAAAGCATATGTATGTGCGTRTATGGGWSTGTGTGTACTTTCATTTGCATTGAACGCCGATACCCAAATGCATATCGGCAACAGACTATGCGAGCAATTGCAAGCGCAAGGGACGCGTTGAATGGCGGARGGGTTGCCCTGTGTCAGCTTRCCGCTGCATTTTCGCTTACTGGCTTGCTGTGGCACCTCYGCGAGGCAAGGCGGTTTTCCTTTATCGGCCCATTTAAGTGGAAAATCCGTTACTGTTTTCAATCGCCCACACACAAATAATCGGCCTGCCTTTGATCCTTTGTTGCCGGCTGTTGTCTCGATTCGGAATAATTTCCTTTCCCCATTRCTCAAGTGCCTTCCTTTGTGTTGGCTTATCGAATTGTTTGCTGTGCTAGAAAATTACCTAAAACGCTTAAGGCGGCGCAACGCATTCAACTATTCAACAATTGTGGCATGCAAATGTGTTATTACTATATGCCGAAGTTACTCATACGCCACGTCTGGCGCTTGGGCTTAATGCACTGCAAGTGCCGCTAATAATAGCGGACATTCACTGCGGCGATTTATTGTATTTGTAATTGAGAAACCGATTGTCGTGCAGCGGTAAGTGCAATTTTCACAAATGCTGCAATAAACTTCAGACTTTTGTGGGGCAAATGAAGAAATTYGGTAATTTGCTAAAATAATGGACCGATATTAGCGGAAATTATTTACCGAAAGAAACTTTGAAGTTACGACCGTGAGCGAAATAAAGTTGCAAGTTAGTAAGCATTTGGATATAAAATAAACCTCGGTAGCTGACCCGGTATTACGCTTCTTAAGCTAAAGTTGTAAAAGAAAATGCGAGACTTTAGTACATGCGGCAAATCAGTCCAGTATACTAATWTATAATTACTTGGATAATTTTGTTTATGAAGACAGAAAAGGTATTATTTCACTGGCTAAAAGTTAGATATTTTATATGGTTACCTAAATATTACAGATAGAGGCTAAAAAAGTTATGAAATCGAACCCTTGGAAAGTAGTGTAAATATTTATGCCTTAAAATTTGAAATATTTGATTTGGAACCCGCGTAACGAAACGACGAAGACCCTAAAAAATGCATACAAAAATGATCAGCGCATCGATCTGAGCCGATTTAGCCATGTATGTCTGTCCTTCTGTCTGTACATTCGCTAAGTAGATTCTCAGATTTTGACATATTAGTTGTTGCATATGAGCTTTTCTCTACAAGAAGCTGTTCGTTTGCTGGAACCGTCGATATTGGACCACTATGGCGTATAGCTGTCAAACAAACTAACTGATGGAATTGAATTTTTTTTAAAAAATCCTTTAAATACATAAAYTGAAGAAATGGTATGCTTATGGTAATATTGAGGATTTTCATGCCGTACCGGGATTAAATATGAACAAATTCTTTATAAAAGTATCCCACACATAATAAGGTCGCTTTAGAATTTCACTTAAAAATAACATAAACAGAATTCTGGCTTAAAATCCTTTATTATTTCGATATCCAAAGTAAAACTCAACCCTGAAGCGGCACAAGTGTGTGCTTTCCTGCACCTACTCACTACTTAGTTCTCCAAAATTTATCAAGTTGCGTTAGGGGGTAGCTGAAAAGTAAAAAAAAAATTGATTTCTTCCAATAAGCTTGCCTTTCTACTTTATGAAAATTAGGAAAAGTTCCAATATTTTCAATTTATGTAACTTACTAGTTACTAGTTACTAGTGAGCACTTTATTTTGACACAATTTGGAGAACAACTTTTATACCAGCTGCTAAATTTTTAAATTTTCTTCATCAACTAAAAAAATTGTTAAATTGTATAATGTTATCGTTTTAGAATATTTGGCAATGACACATTCACATTGCATTTGGATCATGGACGTGGTTTTGGTAAACCCTTTCACGATGAATTAACAATTTTGGCGCCATTACTGCAGTGTTGCATGATACGGACGACGACGTTGAAACGAATATTGGAGTGAGTAAACACTTTTAGAATATAAAACAACAAATGCTGCACTTAAAACGTAGTTGTGAGCTTAACTGTTGGCCTGTGTTGTTGCGCTATAAAGAATATTTAAAAAGTACTGTTAGCAGTTTGTTTTTATATCGAAAAAATATTACTATAAAATATCTTACAAAAAGTATTATGCCAATACATGCCGCAACATTTTTAGAAAAAACCTTTATTTTTCAAATAATTAACTAATTACAAGCAGTTACAAATAACTAAATACTGAAATTTTCTAAACATCAACAGCCCTTCACATCTGTATATGTTATTGCTATTTTTACTCACATATTATTGTTATCTGCCTACTTGACAGCTTCCATAATGGACCCAAACCACTGTCGGAGCTGATGCGCGAGTCCATGTCCGTCGATCCGATTCGACCGATACTGTGGGAGCCGCACCTGAAGGCGCTGGACCGCCGTGTCACCATCATACTGAGCGGCATACGCGATTGCGTGAAGAAGAATCCACCAGAGGAGGCGCTCGAATCCGAGGATCTACTGTCATAGCAATTACAGCARCAAGGGCGAATAAAGATACAGGAGGGCAAGTTTAAGTTCCTGATTCGCCCCAAAGTGCGCCATACGAAAATGACAGTTTAGCATTAGAACCTAGGATACTTAATGTTGTAGTAAAGTAAGAGCAAAGTCGAATTGGGCARCAATGTGCGGCTAGCCGGCATTTGTCTGCTGGACGTGTGTGACTATACGACTTTTTTGTTAGTGGTTGACTAGTTGAATTTACATATACTTGTATAACAAAGCATTAAAACTAAAGAAAACTGCGCGGCGCAACGCTGAAAATGGCGTTGTGTGGCGAGTTCAAGGCTGGGCGGGAGTGCGTTGAGGCGGCAGCGTCTTTGAAAAAGGCACAACGCGCCCAACAATCAGCCTTTGCCAAACACGAATTAATTGAAGACAAATAATTTGTAGGCTTAAAGTGATAACAAACATAATTTAAAACTATAAAAGTTATTAACAAATTCAAAATGTATAAACTAAGTAAATAAGTTCGTAGCTAAAGCATAATTATAGGCGGGAGATTTGCAGTCGGCACCACGGAATTTTGTGCTGGTTGAATTTTTATGAGCATCTTAGCGCAAATTGAATATGTACCTTTCATAACTAACTTAATATGAATATTATTTACTAAACAAAAGAAGCGTTGATCTGAGCAAGAGTAGCAATTGGCAGCTGAAAGTTCGTTTGTAGGCGAGAGCAAAGAATAGTTGGAAAAAAGGAAAGAACGTAAAACGAAAGTTACACAAATTGTTAAAAAAGCAAAAAAAGAAAACAAAAAAATAAAAAATAAAAACAACTAACACTTTGAAGTACAGCTGGTGCCAAAGTGCGTGGTTCTGTGCAATTCGTCTGAAGCCACCTTGAAGTGGACGAAGTTCAGCAGTGGGATTTAACGGTGTTCGCGTTGCGCTGCTAACTCCAGCGCGAAAACTAAATAAAAAGACTAAATAACTAACACTTTATTACATTTTACTAAAAACTTGCGCTTTTATTTATTAAGCATTGAGCAAATTTATTCTCTAATTTATTTTATTATTTTGTAAAACAAAAATTGCACTTCAAAATTTTACTTAACTCTTAATTTCCCTACTTTTAGCACGTGTTACGGATATTTAAGTTTAGTTTCACCCCAACTGGGAAGATGTACTTTTMTAAAATTAATTTAAAATATTTTCCTAAGCAAAAGTTCGGTTTCGACATATTTAAGCGTGTAGTTCTAAATKAATTGATTTAAGTGACGCTTCGGAATTAATTAATTCACACTAAAATCTAAAACGATCTAAAATATAACATCTTTCCTGGTGCAGGAGTGTTTGCTATGCTATTTTCGATATGCATAACGCTTTCATTATCAATTTTCAAGGCGACACTTTAGTTTTACACTATACATATCTCATTAGCCGGTTAAGAGAAGTTGTGCGTTCATGTACTTGAGTTGGTTAGTAAACACTTGCACACACACAGCCATGCGYATRTGTATGTATGTATGTATGTGCATAGCGTGTGTGTGCAAATAGTTAATATAGGAGACACTATAGTTATATATATGTATATATGTACATGTGTATAGCTGTTTGTTAATTTAGTTGATTTGCCTTAGCAATGTTATGTAATCAAAGCAAATAATTAATGTAAAATTATTTGTGCACTTTGCAGTTAGTAAGTAATTATGGAACAAAAGTAAGCGAAAATACCAAAGAATTGCGAAGAAATTCTTATGACAGTTTTYTCCACAAACGAGCTTTTATATAAGTATATGCGCATGTATATATGTTTTGCAGTAAAATCARAATTTTTTTTCGACAATTTTCAGTTGTCTCGATGTCTACGTTAAACCATTTGCTAAATAAAGTTGTGACAGATAACTAGGTAACTGTATTTTTTTATTGTGAGAATATCAGTCAATAACTTTTTCGTTTTGAGAATTTCCATACAAAAGCTTATTTGTGCAGTTACAGMTGTTCTGCTTGAACAAAAGTGATTCTTAAGTTAAAGCTTAAGTTAAACGTGACTGGTAGATGAAGAGAGAAAATGGGTCRGCACTGTGACTCCAGTATACCTGCTCATCTAAGTACTATTTACACATTTGTTTCTTTATCTCTCTAGATTTAATTTCGTTTCACTTTTTGGCGTATTGAAAAACTATTGAAAGCCTTTATTGACATATTTATGTAAAGATTGTGTATTATATAAACTATATATTTAATGTTATTTAATTGTATTGAAAGTTAAACTAAATTAGGTTAATTAAACGGGAAAAATTCGCAGGCAAACTGATGCATGATTTGTAATATGAATATAACTAAAGAAACTTGTGAAATATTTCAATGAATTTAAATAAATTACCATAAGATCATATTGTATTAGTTGCAATGTCTTTCTATGTCCATGGGGAATAATTACTTACTTATTTTGGGGCATAAATATGGAATACAAAAAAATTGGATGCCGGAGTGGTATTTAGCAGTCAAGCATTCCACCTTTAGGGCCACTCTTCTATGTTACATATGGTTTCATAACAACATCGAAATTAATTATATTTAAAATTAGTACAATCAGAGTSGAGCCTAAAATGGGGTTTTCGGTAGGGACTCGACAAAAATATACCGATAGTAACAACAAACGGCCGTTCTTTTGATATTTCTCTTCGGTTAGGTTTGCCTTTTCATTATGGAAAGACATAAGATCCAACAACGAGTCGAAATTATTRAAATKTATTAYCGAAATTCAGAGTCATTGGCCGYAACTRTAATAGCGCTGCATTCAATWTATGGTCRTCATAATCGTCCTGTCAGATCAACAATTCAGCGCCTAGCGGAAGAATTTGAATCCACAGGCACAGTGTAARATGCTCCCRTGCCGGAGAGACAAAGAAATACCGTAGTGTCGAAAATATTGCTGCCGTTAGCGCAKCAATTGGGTCCAAATCAGTCTYTCACGCCACGTCATCTCTGTGACGTCGTTATGCCGAATTTTGCGAAAATACCTTGGCCCACATCCTTACAAGAGCAAATGGACGCAAGAACTGCAGCCGCTTCAACACCAGAATCGTCGTATATTCGTGACTTGGACTGAGCARCAMCTTGAAAATGRTCCGAATTTTCATCGAAAAATCATCTTCAGTTGCAGTTTATCGGCTGCGCCATTGTGCCCTACTTCTTCCGTGATGATCAAGACCGCAACTTTATTGTGAATGGGAATCACCGCAGTTCAATGATAACCAAATATTTTTGGTCCGAAAAGAATGATAGGGACTTGGACAGCGAATGTCACAATCGATTAATTGAAAACCAAGTTTAGTCAACGCGTTATCTCACGAAATGGCCCAGTCAATTGGCTGCATCGGTCGTGCGAATTGGCGCTGTTAGAATATTTCCTGTAGGATYACGCCAAGTCTATGGTCTATGTCAACAATYCAGCGACAATTGGTGAACTTCGTACGAATAGAGAATGTGAAATTGCATTAGTATCGGATAATTTATGTTTGAACACCGTCGAAAATTGGGTTCAGCRTCTGGAGCGTGCCCGTGGTAGCCATGCAAAAGAAAWCGGATTCCGTACATAACGGCGTCGAATTTTTTTCCCGGGAATAAAGAATTCCATTGATATCCCAAACCGTTTCGGAATTTTTTAAAAAACTTTTGCAACGTTTTTATTGAAAAAAAAAAAAACCGTTGTATGTTTTACAGAACTATAATCCATGTCAAATTTCGTGAATTTTAGTAGCGCAGAAAATTTTTGATGATTTAAATTTTTTTTTTTGTTTTTTTAAAAAATTTTAAAAATCCTTAAAAATAAAATTTCTTCTCTAAAACAATCAAACTTTAACTATTAATAATTTTTAAACAATTAGGTTTACGGAAACATAGGGATCGATTTTTGAAGATAATTCAATTTCTTACAAAATCCAAAACCAGATATTTTTACCAGTAGATGTAAGCGRGACACAAAGTTTTCTAACTGAYAATAAGAAAAAAATTAGGTTRGGTTGATTACCTTATCGTTAAAATTATGAGCTAGTACTTCAAGAGTATTTCTTAGAGTAGTCTATCAACTAATTTTTCAAGGTTCTAAGAAATAATAAAAATGTACTCTACGACGTTATGCTGCTGTARGTCGTAAAAGATTTCATTAATTAAATTAGTTCGTACGTTGAAAGAATATTACGTCACACCTTTCTCTATTGTTATTATGTAGATATGGCGAGAGATTTAAATTAAATCCACGGTCCCTCATCGCTCCGATATCATAAATAAAATGCATACTCGAAAGCAGAGTGGCTAATACCTCACATATGAAGTGCAGAGCAATTGATTTMTTAACAGAGCCTGCAAATACGCAAATCAACATTATCACCTAACTTTCGCTCACTGCATCTCCCAATCCCACTCTCGCTGCTGCTTTGTCTCTGCGTAAGAATAAAGTTATGCTACTTTCTCTGTTGTAGGTCTTTACTGTAAACAACATTTCCAGCACATTCCTTGAGTGCCGGCACTWGAGCAATATATGTTGACCACATTTTGAGTGCTATACGATCATGACATACAATTTTTCTCATATAAGCGAGCGCAGTGATCGATGGRAAATTAGTAGCCACTGAGTGCACGAGTCGCATTGTCAAATTTCAACAGAGCGCTGTGAAAAGCGGCACGAAAAGTAAGCGGTTCGAATCGACAGATAGTAAAGTTTATTTGTAAGTAAATATTTGTGAAAAGTGTTTGGGGTTAATAAGAACAATTTTTTTTTTTTTTGATATCATAAATAACATTAGAAATAACTATCAGTTAACAAATAAAATAATTCAGTGCTAAAATAATAGTGTGATTTCTGGATCGCTGCTAAAGTACACATAATTTTATCAATTACATAAATCTGTCATTATGCTCATGCCATCATACAAATATATRTACATATTTGATTAAATATCTACATTTGTGCTCGCAAGTGCCGAGGTGTGACTTGGAGAAGCATAACAGAAGCGACTTCTGTTACTGTTTTCAGCAGTGCAGTGATAATCAATGAAAAAATTGTTTAGCAGAAGAATTGTRTATATACATATATATTATATTATGTATATATATTCAGAAYGATATTAATATCAAAGGCGCTTCGCAAATCACATTCGCCGTAAAAACTTGTTCTGATTCTATTTTCAACTGCAACTTTGTGAGCWGATGACGCGGATGAGTGAAGTGAAATACACTTAGTTACCAAACTTAATATTTTACTATATGAATATCGATTGTTATCAGCTGTTCAATGGGCATTYTCAGAAATTTAATTTTCGTTGATTTGCTCTGTGAAGTTGAGCAAAGTGATTTTTATATTTTCTAACATATATTTTACCTATTTCATTTTGGGTTTTTAACGATCATTAAAGGGACAACTTCTGAGCATAATCAAACTGTTATTATTCCGAGCGCTACATATCAAAAACTCAAATTTATCGGTTGCAGTATTTATAACTTGTATTTGAGAAGTCAACTGAATTTTTCCAACCGCGTTTCTATTTTTATGCTCTCAACACTCCACCGATCTTTCCCGCCAAATTGAAATTACGTATCAATAAAGTGACTTACGAAGCAAACAAACATATCTAGAGGCAGTATATAAGTAAATTTGCGGAAACATTCCATTTCGACGGCTACCAAGTGAAATATAGAAAAATGTCGCACTACGTAATTGATATTCGTTCGGATACGGTAAGTCAGCCGACAGCGGAAATGCGCCAAGCCATGTTTGTGGCCGAAGTGGGTGACGACGTTTATGGAGAGGACCCGACGGTAAATGCATTGGAGCAGAAAACGGCCAAGTTGTTCGAAAAGGAGGCAGGTCTCTTCGTGCCCAGTGGCACCATGGGAAATTTATTGGCTTGTAAGTATACAAAGTGTGATAAACAAAAATGATATCAGCTCGTATACACATGATTCAAATGAAAAGTGCATATACTTAATTAAAAGAACGCATYACGAAATTACAAAGCATTTAATATTATACTTATTCATTTAGAGAAAAATATTCCAACTGTTGAGCGAAGAAATACTGAAAAATTAAACTCAAATGCCCTGACACTARGAGGTTTTGGTTTGAGTGCGGCCARCCAAAGAAACCCTGGTTCCCASTTGAAGCGAAATATATACACATTAGTCCTTGTGATCATGGTCCCATGTTCGAATAATCTATTTGTATATAGGAGCTTTGCATGCCGAAAGCGATCTCCCTTGAATAGAGACTTCTAGAGAAGTCTAGAAAGYCCTTTCCTATATATAATATGTCCCTAACAAACCCGTAAGCAAGTCTATATATATTTCTATTTAAGTTACAAGAATAAAGGTTTTTCTAATTACATCATGTCTATGTATACGGTTACTCTTTTCTCTCTATTAACAAAATATCAGTTATAAAAAAAATGATTCTTCCAGGCAAAGAGATTGATTATATTTTTAATTTGTTGAACAAATACAGCTTGAAAATCATACTGATTACGTCTTCGGATTGCGCTATAAGTGGAARCGAATTAATTCTGTCATAACCTCATAATTTTCCCATAGAAGATTCGGCCGTGGGGGAAAGCAATCGTTAAATTTCCAAGCGTGCATGGTGACGTGACAAATATATCCTGAACCCAAGGATATCGTTAAGGTTCAAGCTACGTGTAAAAGATACCAGTCTATAAAAACTGCAGCTCCGTCTCTTGCCTAGCCACCAGGGTGATTTGATTTAATAAGATCGTGCCCTGCGATTTTAAAATATSACCAATCATTGAAATGAGTTTCTGCTACAAGTAGAGCATCGATCTTGTTAGTTTTGACATAGAGTCTGRCTTCAGCTCTACTTTTGCATAGGCCGTTGGCATTCCATATGGTAATTTSAAGTCTTATTTGCAATGATTTCTTRATGTMATGAGTTCAGTAATMATTTATGTAAATTAAGCAGGCACAGCATTATCATTTGYTGAATATGCACCTCCACTTCTTTCAACGTTGATTTCCCATTATTGACTGTCGCGGACATGGGTTGAGAARGGTTACATGACGGGACCTGACGTTTCGCAAACAAACTGGTAAAGGTAGTACCAGGAATAATATGACTGGATGGAGTAGACTGAGTTCCGTGTTGATTACTGGAATGATGGTTTCTTTCTTGTAATTTAAAAAATCGCTGGTCTATTTGCTTGTTAACTTTGCAACCTTTATGGGATGTAGGCTGCCCTTTTTTATCTACCTCTCTATTTTGGTATCTATTAATAAGGATTGTGGTGGAAGTGGAACGTAATTGATGGAATTTAATTTAAACTGCTGTTCTTTGGCGCATTCATGCATTAATACAGAATATCCTTTTACAAAATTGGATTTTGTGACCCTAACACGCAACCTAGTCGTGGCTGTTCGATGCAACTATCGATTCAAATATAAAAACCCAACYTATACAGGGTTTGTCCGTGAAAGTAATGGGACTGAATTTCTTTTGCCCCTACAATACTTCAGAGCGTGCGCGCACTGACTGGATTCCTAGCTAAGGAGCGGCTGGTGGCACCAGGCCTTGTAGGAGGGCCGGGAAAAGATCGCTCATGAAGAATGCGTGAATGAGCAAATCCAAAATGAAAACGATAGTCATTTTCTTTTTTGACATCAAAGGCATCGTCCAACATGAATTTGTTCCCCCTGGACACACTGTCAACGCCAAGTTTTACGCGGAAGTCCTCAAGAGCCTCAAACAAAGGGTCCATCACGTCCGACAAAACATCACAGCCCGGCTTACACTGCCTTTCTTGTGAACAGCTACCTACCATAACCAAGGACGGCATTCCAATGCTTCCATATCCGCTTTCCAGACCAGATGGGGCCCCTCCGGACTTTTGTTTGGCTTRCCTGAARAGGCCGATGAAAGGCAAGCTTTTTGAGACGACAGAGAGTATCCAGAAAAATACYGCATATTCTTTATTGAAAACTATTTTCTTTTTTAGCTTACGGTCACTTTACGGCTGGCCCTTGATTTATAAGCACATTTGTGGTGTCAACTCTGTTTATGTTGGGGAATTAAAACGGCCATAATGCGCGTTAACGCCATTAAACATTGTAACTTCAGTYAGTACGAAAGGAAAATTATTTTCCAAAAATTGCCAAAGCGCTCTAATTCCATAAGCACTTAAGACCRCATACCTTATAAATATTTCAAGCATGGAATTTGAACACCTTGCTGTAAGGTGATATTTCTTTATGAATTTCATATAAAATTCCCTTAACAGAAGGCAGCCAGCACGACTTCTATTGGAATCGCTGCATAGTTGTTGCTGCTGCTGGTGCTGGTGTCAAGGAATGTAATTCACTTTCATGGTTTCTGCACATTTACACTGCGTTTGCGTTCCAGCACTAAGTGCATACTGTTGCACGCGTCGCCGCATACACCCATTGGGGAATATAACTAGTGCCACCCGGAAGGGCTTCTAGTGATTTTTGAACCGACAATAGTTCAAAGTAATATTTCCATGAAACTTTCGAAATAAGRGAAGTTAAGTTAAGAGTACACACASACCACATTACGCATCCTAAAAMAGTTAACRTGGCAGAGTTATTATGTGCTTTCTTAAAGTAGAATCAAGCCGAGATTTATATGACTAAAAATATAGCGAYTATTCCGGAAGAAAATATTGAGAAKAGGCTTTATCTCTATTAATGAAGAGATACTGAAATCGCTGTAATACCCATTAACGAAGTGTAGTCCCTCGAGAATTGTTCGATGCCCATTGTTTCATAAACCGCTCTGATGACTTTTACAGATCTAAATATTAATGATTGTTTACGGATGATACACTAGAGACTTACACCTTTGTGAAGGCGAGGTTTCTTTTTCTATTTTTAGGGTGAACCTTGAGTTGCAAAGCAAGTTTCTTTCATTAAATTTTACGCCAAAATGTGCCATTCAAAYAACACCGACCACATATCGCTAGATGTAAATGAACTTTTTGTCCATCCTGCTATTGGACCATTTATATGGTCTCGCAAAGCCACAAGTATCCTGCAGGATATCAGCATCCATAGAAATGTGTGTGCAGTCAAAAATGTGTTCCGGTGCACGCTTTCCACTAAAATAGTTAGTTCGGCTAAAATCAACAAATTTATGCTCCCTTCAAGCATTCCGTTATATACGCACACACTCAGACACACATACACGGTACATATATCACATTCTTATCTASCCATTTTTATACTTTTCAGGTATGGTGCACTGTCATCAGCGTGGCTCGGAAGCAATTGTGGGTGATTTATCTCATATCTACCTCTATGARCAAGGTAAGTTTCATTTCCTAAAAGTACAGAGTGAAGAGTAAAAATTATAACGGAGGAAACACGGAAACGTAGAAATGCCAAAAATTGGGAAAATATTCGACTGCGTCCCAAGGCGTCCTGCGGATAGCGCGATGCAAGGATAACCAGCGAGATCGGGTTAAAAGTGGTGTGGCAGTCGAGAATTGCGAAAGTCTGCCGTGTTTGTGWCGCCCGTGTGTGTGTGTGCCGATGCTGCATGGCATGTGCGGGTTTAAATGCCGCGCCATGTTCGATAGCAGCGACAGACGACAGCSCACATATTCGCACACACACTCAAAATTACACATGACTTGTATCCTCACAGTTGCCTGTTTGAGTTGCACGTCTAATTGTTGCCATTGTTGTTGTTGTTGTTGTTGTTGATATTTCATATTTTTTTGCACTCAATAAAATGCGCACAATAATGCAATTTGCAACTCAAAAAACGGCGAAAAGTAATAATAACAGTAAACAGTTAATGGCAAAAAAGCGAGAGACTCTGCGCAAATATATAGAAAGCCCAAACGAAAAAATTCACATTACCCACGCTGGAAAAAAATGTAATTACGCACACACACATATAAAATATATTAGTATAAGCATTTTTTTGTGGCCATACAAAGTGAGAGTTTCATGCTTGTAACCCGCAAATCATCGAAGGCATGGGGATTAAATACACATTTATTTATGAAGATTAATTTTGTATTCACTTTTTCCATAAAATTGGACAAGATCACTAGTGACTTGTGTGGATGCTTCTTCTTCTTATTCTTTATTGACGCAGACAGCGCTTATAGCCGAGCTTCCTTCGTATGAATGTAAGTGTTTTTTACGCGGCAAATTCCAAGCGCAACCCTCCTCACTCTAGCTCACCTTCAAACGTATGTTTTTTGGCTACCTAGATTATACTTGGTCAAAGACCGGAAGTCGTGAGCTGCTTAAGCCATATATAAAAGAATCGTATCTGGACATTTCGAAGTGAATGGCTCTGAGAGAACTTTTCTCACTTTCGTAAACTTCTTCACATGACTGCATCCTCCAGACGCTGCTTCGCATTGGTATATTTTCTAATTTTTTTAATTGAAATTTAATGCCCAGTTTAAGAAGATTTTTGTAGCTATACTTCAATCAGAATGAACGTTTATTTCTTAGGAATTACTTTTTACACAAACTTTTATCCATCAGTTAATAATATACTTGAGTATCCTCTATTCCGAATCAATACAAATTGAGGTGCTTGCCTTGTTTGTTTTTAATAATTTTTCCAGCTTAAAGGCACGAAACCCACCCTATACAMATACACATATAAATTTCATGGTTTGCAAAAAAAGCATAAATACCCATACTCGTACCCACGACTGACCAATGCAGCACGATTTGTTGTAAACAAATTTGGAAAAACAAAACTTTTTTGATTTACCGCCGTTGMGTGCCCTCCGGGTCGCGCTGCACATATACTTCTTCGCCTCGGTCCCGGCAGATTTTAATGTCGACATTGCTAATGAATGCGATGAAGTGCCGCTGGAATTGTTGTGCAAAAAAATTAAGTGCTTCGTACTTTAGAGCGCAACCAAAAACAAACTAATTTCAGCTTGTAAAGCTGGTAAAGCTGGTAAAGCTGGTAAAAAGTTTGCGAATTATACTCTACCACACCCTGGTGTATTGGGGCGCTCATTTTCGCGAATGCTCACAGTGAGCTGGTGATGATTACATTCAGAGCTTTGTTAATAATTATTTGCTGATTTAAGTTTAATTTGGAAGTAAATTATATTATAATCCAATTAAAATTTTTTCTCTGCTTTATGCGAGACTTTTATTGAAAATGCTCCATAGTTAAAATATGTTAGGCAGTTTAAAGCAAGAAAATGATGAACAAGTCTATTTTAGCTTCTGTAACGAAAGAAGTGTGTATTTTAGGTATATAAATAGTAGGTCTTTTTTCAACCAGCCCATTTTGTTATTTTCAAAATCACAGTAAAGCATATTGTTACACATTCGCGAAGCTTGGAGGCCTTTGAATATTATAAAAAACTCACAACTTTCTCGGGCTACAGTAATTTTAAATCTTGAATACAGGGCTTAATAAAGTGGATCCTTGTTCAAGGAGATATAAAGTTTATTGTTACTATAAAACCGATGAAATGTTAATACATTACTACTGTGGGCAAAAAATAGTAAGAGTTTTTAATTTAAATTCAAGTATTTGATTGGAACAAGTTACGCAAAAAGGGTTGAGAACGGGTTGACGACGAACTACCTCAGAGACAGCCATCAACATTAACTGATGATAAACACGTCAACAAAATAAATGAATTGGTGCGTGAGAATCGACGACTGAGATCTAATTGGCATCGTTGGAATAGCGGCAGGATCACACACTTTGAGAGATGATTTCAGCCGAGAAAGAGTGAAAGAACAGTTAGCTCAAAAATCACTWATTTTTTTCAAAAMCCAACGTTGGGTTTATGTATATGAAACAATGCTTCCMGACTACCATGATGTCATGAAACATATTATAACCGGCGAAGAGTCTTATATATATGCTTACGGCTATCTATCTCGCCAAAAGTGAGCCAAAGGCAAAAACCACGCCAAAGCCGGTCAAAACTGAAGGATATTTTGAGAGTTTTCTTCGATTATGGAGGTGTGGTGCGCTCAAATCTGTTCCAGCCGGCCAAAATGTCAGCAAAGAATCTTATTTGAGTGTTATACATCATTTGCCAGAAAATATTCGKAAAAAGAAGCCGGAATTATGAGCCCATAACTCTTGGTTGGCTGCATTGATTCTKMGTAAGTTTKTCGCCAAATTTTCAACCAATATCGAGCCTGGAACCTGTTTCGAAAATTGGAAGAAATGTTGGCACAAGTGTATTAGTGCGAAGGGGGACTACTTTGAGGAAAACGACATAGCTTTTGCAGAGTAAATTGAATTCTAAAATTATGTGCAAAGCCTTATTATTTTTTTTTACTCACAGTAGTATATTTCTATAATCGGACAAGCTTTTCAAACCGTACCAAAATGTGTCTAATAAATGTAATGAGAATTTACAGGACTTCTGATGGATACCTTGCACTTAACCTCTGCAAAATTCCTCAGTGTCTCCTGATTTTGAAAGTAAGGAATGTGCTCTTTTAATATTTAGTTCTTCTATGCAATTATTCATGCTTAGTCCACATATCGCTTTGCGCCAGCAGCACATCCACGCTCACACCTACACACACACATATACACATGTAGATCTAATATTTGTACGATTCCTCTTTTAGGTGGCGCTGCTCACATCGCTGGCGTACAATTAGCCACAATACCCAACAAAGTGGACGGCACATTCTGCCTTGAAGCGCTGCGTCGCAAGGTGCGCTTGGAGGACGATCACGAGCCAATTACGTCGCTTATAGTGGTGGAGAACACACACAACATATGCGGTGGCAAGGTGATTCCGCTGGAGTGGCTCGATAAACTGGCAGAACTAGTTAATGACGATAAACAGCTGCAACCCTACGGCAAGCGTATTGCGTTGCACATGGATGGGGCGCGCGTCTTTAATGCGGCCGCAGCGTTGCAGGTGCCTGTGGCGCGTATTGCGCGCGATTTCGATTCGGTGAATATTTGTTTGAGCAAAGGGCTGTCGGCGCCGGTGGGCTCAGTGCTGGTGGGATCGGAGGCTTTCATTAGGCAGTAAGTAAAGCGTATTAGACGGTTGGTGATAATCAAATAAAAGATGTGTGCGAGTGTGTTACGGCTATGTGGCAAGTGTTGCAGCTAAGGCGATTACTATTGCCAGCCGAAAGGCGATTGGTTGGCAATAGCAAAGCAACACAGGCATTGCTCTCAAMCACTTATTTYATGGAATTAGAGTTTGAGTCTCCACTTGCTCGCCTTGAGATTAATGTCACAGACTAATTGGCAGACACACGCTCTGCAACTTTTGCTTTCCAATCGCATTCTTAATCTTCGCACTTGTGACTTCTTTCTTTTACCACTAACTTTTCGCTTATCTCGCAGAGGGCGCCGCCTGCGCAAGGCTCTAGGAGGTGGCATGCGTCAGGCAGGTATTTTGGCGGCAGCCGGCATTGTGGCCTTGGACACCATTGTTCCGCGTTTGAGGGAGGATCAGCAGAAGACTCGACGCATAGCAGAAGGTAATTTTTATTGCAGCCTAATAACAATACATCAATATGGCAACTTGCGGCAAGTGGCGGCTGATGAGGCGACTAATGGCTGCTGATAAATGCCTTCGATTTGGGCGAGTAAGTACTCTGGCTCTGACTCTGACTGCGTCTAAACTCTTGCCGTTCRACTGCTATTATTCTCTCATCCCCACATTCCACCTCAATTTGCGTTGAAACAATTAATTTCCTTTAATTACGCCTCGCTTAATTTTGCCTGAACTCGCTTCTCCTCTCTTTCAGCCATTCACAAAGCCAAAAGTCCCAATGTCACCGTCGATTTGGCGACGGTACATACAAATATTCTGCTGATTCATCTGCCGAATGCGAAATTCGGCGCCACAGCGTTCGCCAAGCGCTGTAGCGAAGTGACGCCCGAGGAGCTCGCCGCCGGCGTGCATGCCGCACACAAGGAGCAGGGTATTAAGCTGAAAGTGAGCGCACGCGATTGGCAATTCGCTCGAATTGTGTTGTACCATCAGATCASCGATGCGGATGTCGATTTGGTAATCAAGAAATTCAATTATATAATACGAGATGTGGACGTCATATTGGCAGCATAACTGTCATGTGACATAAAAGTGAAATAAGACATACATACTTACTTTGGATTTCTTTAAACGTCGTCTATACATAAATGCACAAGTTCTCGTTGGATAGAAGGCATTCCAATTCATTTCACTATGTATACACACTAAACCACTTTAAATAAGTCATTTATTAACCCAGAAAGTAGAAATGTTTTTATTTTTTATTTTTATAAATAAAGCAGAGGATTGTACAGAATAATATATTTTTGGGAATAAAAATCTAAATTTTTTAAGAATTTTCGCTAAAAGTCATTATGTTACTGAGTCGTCTGTTTCACTTTCCGATAATAAACATTTTTAGAAATATCTATGGTAACTCTACAATTTCTTCTAAACATTCGATTCAGCTATTCGCACTTCATCTGGGTATATGCGCTTCAGCACATATTCAACTGGTTTTGTTTTGCCAGAGACATTATTTSAACATTGTAAAAAWGTGGTCCTGGTCAATYTTTTCCAWAATKTCATCGACTTTTTCTACGATGAGTCRACCATGGCGAGTTGCATCTTTCACATCGAAATTTCGAAGCAAGCGGCCTATAGTTGTGCTGCGCTTCACATCATTGTRTAAACAAATTTCATTGGTAGCTGTTTTATATGAAAATTTCAAAATATAGCGATTTTTTTTTATTATTTTCACTCATTTTTGAACACCTGCAGCTGTTTTYCCCCCGAAAWTTTTTTTTTATTTTTTATTTTTTTGTTACAATCTCTCCTTTCCAACACTATATGATATGACACAATGTGATTGGTAGCACTGATGATATACGGCATTGCCTGACAAAATACGAAAATACTTTTTGGACTACCCAATACATATGTACATATGTATAATAGAGCTGATCGATTTATAGCGAGCCACAAAAACCGAAAAGTTGCGTATCAGAGAAATGATTTACGAAACTTAGACCAGTTATCTCCCATACAAACGACTATTCCGATTTTTTAAAATTCGCTGAAGATGTGTATAAGAGACAGACCCAATACATATGTACATATGTATAATAGAGCTGATCGATTTATAGCGAGCCACAAAAACCGAAAAGTTGCGTATCAGAGAAATGATTTACGAAACTTAGACCAGTTATCTCCCATACAAACGACTATTCCGATTTTTTAAAATTCGCTGACTAGAAATCGGTTATAGACGATTAGTCCCACTTTGCTAAGTTGTTCAAAATTTCCCGTTTAAGCGATTTTATAAGCAAAAAAATTGATCCGTATGCATGGAAGAATTTATTTATAMCCCAATCATCTCAGAAGACTTGCCTTATTGAACAAAGTAGCGCCATCGACCCCATTGCAATATCGCAATTTTTCAATTTGTGGCGCTYATTTAGTTGCCCAAACAGACRCAGCATGTCAGAATATACGAAGCGCCTAAACGTATGTGACACGCTAATGCCGGGCAGATTTATAGCAAACTTGTATTTGATGCCGTTACAATTGAGCGAGGCTTGTAATATAGTTTGTTSTTAAGAACACATATGAACGTAGCCGAATGGACGATTTACTTTATCACTTTATCATGAATTYTATTTCRGWTAAATCTCTGTGCTACTTACACGCCTTTCGCAAAATRCGGCACTTGTGACCACAAGATTTGTYCAAAATAGATTTGTTCGATATTTCCAAAGCACACACAATCAAAGTTGCTGCAGCAAAAGCGCAAGCGAACAAATATTTAAGCACTTTCACATCATTTTTGAAATCAGCACAACCAAATGTACGTTCGTGGCTGTTCGCATAAGACCACAAACAGGGGCGAGCTGGTTATATATTCTGCCGAATTAGAACGCCAGAAAAAGCTGCGCCGAAAGTTGGAATGGACTATTCAGATCCACCAAGCAACGCTCCTGCGCTGGCTGTGCTGTTGCTGCCTTTTCTTACTGTTTGGCTTTGAGTCTTTCTTCTGCGTTTTGCCAGCGATTTGAAAGCACAAATAATAGAATCCCCGGGCCATCGATCAATTTGAATTAATGGAAATTAAAATCGCATTGGCAAATGGAAAATCAATTTACTTAAGTGATGAAGTGCTGAAGTGCTGAAGTGCTGCCTCTGCAGCTGCAGCGGYCRCAGTGAGACTTAAGCCGCGAGGCATGCCATAAGCCCGAGTTGTTTGCGTCCATTTCCACCTTTGGATGGCGTGCAGCAAAAATCGACAACAAACACACCGCTTAAGGCAATCACTCGAGAAGCCTTTCCTCAACGCAYCGTTGCAGTCGCGGTGTTAGAGAGCGMGCTTTTGCTGAAACGCAAGTTCGGCGCGATAATTGTCGAGCGCAAAAATTATGCAAATCTCGTTTGAGGCACCACCCGCAGCGCCAACAGAATTTAGTCGAAATTTAATATAACAAATTTGTGCGCTCGCAGAACTTTCGCACGCTCGAGTGTTGTAATTATGCAAGAGCAATTTGGCGTTTCCCTCCTGCGCAGCATATCATGACATGAATGTTTGCTACACGCCTACTTGGGGCCTGCTGCCAGCACTTTAGCGGCGAAATTATTTGCATATCAAGAGTCGCTTCAGCGCTTTCCCATGTTGTTGGCGTAGCAGCCTCAAGCCAACTCAGCGCTTTCATTTGRCATGCGCCTGCGTAGCTGCTGCGTGCGGAACTTTTTGCGCAACTCGTTACAAACAAAAACCAAAACCGAAAATGCGAAAAAAGCAAAAATAATAATTTTAAATTATATTTCTTTTTTCAATTTCCCTTAAGACTATTCTTCACGCCACAGCGGCGGCTCGGTGMCGGCGCATGTCGATGGCATGGTAAATTGCGGCTGGTGCGAATATTCTTATTTCGCGCCTTAAAATATGCCACTAAGCAACGAATACACGCATACTTCACGAAAGTATGCTCATTTTGTGGCTTCGGGTGTGTGTGTGCGTGCTGGTGTTCGTTTGTTGCTGCGCCTGTTTGCTTGGCATGAAGCGACTGTTGACGTTACAAACTTGGAGAATTTCTCAACGCCTCCAACTATTTTGCATGTTGCTTGGGTGCATGCGTCGGTGTGCGTGTGCATAATTTATATTCAAAATGGCGCGGCGGCCATACCGATACTTAAGCCGTTCACTTTTTGAGCAAACGCCGCTTTGCACAAGACACATAATGGCAATATAATCGAAAGAGAATTAAGCTGCTTAAGTTTTGTGGATTTAATTTGGCGCTTTAAAATAAAAAAAACACGCTTTTATTGTTGTAGGGCTACACTGGACAATYCGCAGCTATCAATTTTGGTTTCTCTAAAGATACTTAGGTAAATAGGAGAGAATTGTAGTAGATCGCCTTTAAGTTTCTGGATTGATGAAAACCTAAGCGCTAGGCGTTCATTTACAAATGGTAGTCCAAATTTTGCAAAACAAAAAACAAAAAAAACAAAAAAAAAAAATATTATTCAGAAAGCCCCACAAGTTAAGGTTTCATAAGCGAGAAACACATTTTTGCTTCATACATTTACTCTCCATACAAAGTGGCTGCGTGCTTATTAACAAACAYAAATTCGTAGCGCCTGAAAATATACTTCACATCTTCGCGGCGAGCTGGTAAGCAACAACACCATTGCTTAGTTAAGCCATTAACTTCGACGCGAAGCAGCGCATGACTCACTAATCCATTTTCGTATGTTTATTTATATCGTGAGTRTCATGCAACTACTTCAGCTTTATTACTCGTGTCTATGCTTCGCTTGTTTTCTTGCTGTGCAACATTTGTGCGGCATTTGGGCGCGCTCATTTCGCATGTCAGGATGGCCGAGCGGTCTAAGGCGCCAGACTCAAGAGCGATTCTTGCTCACAAAATGTACTCAACTGTGAGCGCATTGGATTTGTGAGTTTCAACTGAGCGTTCTGGTCCTCTCTGAGGGCGTGGGTTCGAATCCCACTTCTGACAAATGATTTTTTTTTTTTTTTGGAATTATTATTTTTTTTTTACATTTTTTATTTATTTCTTTCGGTGAGTTTAGTTTAATATGTGATTACTTATTTACCTTTTTGTATATATCATATTCAGTTTTATCATAGCAACTCATAAAAACCTTAAAAAAGTAAAACATGACAACAAATTTAAAATATTTTTCCCTTGTTATTTATTCTTTCAACAATTACACTTCAAGTGCACAGCTTTAAAAAAAAAGTACATATTTGTATGTGACATGTATCATGTGTGAATTGTCGGCTATCAAAAGCCACGAAATGACTTCGTATTAAGTTTACGAAAACAATATTGCAAAATGTCATTCTGTCCGTAGTGATACTTTGAGGTTATAAAGATTCCAACATAATGSCAATGTCAGCGTCGTGTACAAAGAAAATTAAAAGAAAATATTGTGCAAATAAGCAATTGAAAGACAAACAAGCAAGGGAGTTTTGGAACACACATACCTTCGTCATCAGCTCTGGGGACTCGTCTTTCGAAATGACTGTCGCTGAAGTTGAAATGACGTGGAGAGCAAAGGGGGATTGCAACATTTGATTTTTCTGGCATTTTGTTGGTGAGTTTCTTTATTTTCTGTATCAGTCAAACAGCTTAACAAGTTGTTTTTCGATTTGTTCTTGACATATTTTTCAACTTGCGTGCAGGTGCAGCGTTTGAAGTGTTTTCATCCTACAACTTAAMCGCATGCATGCACTTACTTACTAATATCTGTTAGAGTAAAGAAATTTGGAAAATTTCGGAAAGGGTGATAAATTTCGAGGTTCCCTACTTAAGAATATCRCAGAAACTTAATATTTAATGCTTGTTACCATTGGGAAGAACATTCTTKKCATTTATTGTTTGAAGATTATCTYTTTCAAATCKYGGCCGCGGCTTCCTCTYGCATGGTCCATCCGAATTGAATCTAAATTTCGATGACTTTCGAGCACTTCGACTGGYAACTGGCAACTAACACGAGTGATAATTTTTTCCAAGGCCTGAATARGCCTTCTTAACAAGGTAATAAAAATCGACTGACCCAAAACACAAAATTATCTGCTAACCGAAGTGGTCTCGCAATAAATMCATTCATTTATGCGATGTATGGAAAGTGGCGTCGTATTTTTTACACCAAATGTTTCCGATATCATATTAAGGTATCACATAGTCAGTTATAATGGTGCGACAACTGTCGCCAATCACGGTTACCGTCTCACCTGCCTTATTTTTGAAGAAATATGAACCGATCCTACCGGCTTACAAACCATACCCAACCATTGTTTTTTCTG